GTAAGTCATTACTGTATCTTTTCCACTCATGCGAAAACCATTCTTATATAAGAAGTAATGTCACGGCYGATGTCAGTCGACCGTGTGCTTGTATTGAACTCAATTGCAAACGAAAGCCATTCCGGGTGTTGACCACGTTCTCGCACGGTACGTGCTTTTATGTCAGCTAGTCCCACTCCTAATATGAGAGCCACTCTGGCTTCCATTATTATCTTTCAATCAAAAAAAAAAAAAAAAGAAAATGGAAAATGCTTCACGATTAAAGGGGAAAAGACTGATATGCTAAGATACTTCAAAAGGAATCGAACATTCTATTATTTTGACTACAATACCATTTTTTCTTACTTCAATTCTTCATTAGTCCTATCTTGAAAATCTAATTTAATTGAGTTTCCTCTTTCAAAGATATGTTGTGGGCTTGCTAAAAGCTTGCAACGAAAGAATTGACATACAACAACAAAAAAAGATTTATTTTGTGAATGGATATCGCCACGATCCACATTAATACAGGAAGCCGTATGAAGTCACAACAACATTACGGTCTGATCTGTCTTGCCTTCTTGTAGATCSCAGAGATGGCAACTAAGGATTTGATAAATCCTGAAATAACAATACAACAAACTATAAGGATCAAATCTTGAATGACGRAGAGAAGGCGTTTATTTGAAGTGCTCCAGAATTTTTCGCAAATCATTAGCACCGGAAATGATGAAAAYGAAGCACTTCCGGTTTATTGACACCCAAATGAGGCTGGCGTCGAGTCGTTGTCTGGAAATCAGGTATTCAGTGAGGATCGACCAGAAAAATGGCGGATAAAACTGGTGATCCGGGTGTGGACAATAATTCTAAYACAACCGATGACATTCCAAGAGACTTAACTAAAGAAGCCATGAAACAATTTGACGAGATCGCAAAAGAGACAGGTACTATTTCTCAATCCATTGAGCCTGAACAAGAGAAACGTACGGGGGGTTCTGGACGGTTGGTTCGCAAGCAAGACGACTTATATGCCTGTCTTACCGTCATGAGAAGACTTATGGAACAGGCCGAATCAGAAAGTAAGCAACTGAAAGAAGAGAAGTATGTCATCGCAGCAAAAATCAATAACTCTTTGAACTCGGTAAATAGGGAGGTTGAGCATCTGAAGGCTGAACTTCGTGACCAAGATCGCAGATTAGTCGAACTTGCTTCTGAAAGACTTCAGGAAAATACGAGCGCTGAAGGACACTCGGCCGTTACACGAACTATGAGTAATAGTTCTGAAGAAAGTGGCGATTCTTTGAAGAGATTAGAGAAATTAGGTGACGAGAATCAAAGATTACGAAAGGAGAACGAGTTTCTAGCGCAGGAACTTAATGAATTTCGAGGATCGAATTCAGACTTAGCGGAATTGTATGAAAGATTGCACTGTTGTGAACACGAAATTAGTCGTGCCAAAGAAACTATCGTTTGTATGAAGTCCGAGAGGAAAAAGCTTAAAAGCGAAAAAATGGAATTATTAAATCAGATGAAACAAGTTTATGGCATACTGGAGGATAAGGAGTCAGAGTTGAGAGAATTCATTAAGAATTACGAGCAACAGATGAAAACTAGTGACATCAAAATTAAGCAACTTCTCTCCGAGAAAGAAAAATGGATTCACGAGAGAAAAGACAGTCTACAATGCATTGATGATTTAAATAATAAAATACGGACTAAAGAAACGCATCTAGCAGTCGTAGAAAGTGAACTTCTTGAAGTAAAACAGCGTTTGACGCTGTTRAGAGTGAATATCCCTTCTACTCAAAGCCACCATAAAGGACATGGAGAGACGAACGATTTAAATATTTCGAACTCGAGTCGTTTTTCCAGAGCAATACAAGCGGACGTAGAAAAACTACTTCACATTCATGCGACTGGAGAACTTGAAAACATRTCAAAGTCACCCTACAGCACTGCTGGTGAGTTTTATCTTAGCTGATTGCAAATTTTTTTAAGTACAGTACATATTGTCATTCATTATTAAATAATGTTCTGCCAAGCCCTGAAATGGCTTTTATTCCCCTTCACTGACCTATAAACTAATTATAAACTCCTCAGAGTCAAGAAAAGGCGTTCAAGTTTTGTTTGGGAATTCTCAGCAGCAACATTATCCGAAATTCTATATTGATTGATGCGTAGATCGAGAGATGCGATTAATTGTTTTCGATTCGTAAGCAAGACTTGCAATAATTATTGAGATCGCGTGTTTAGAATCAAATTTTTTTCTTCAGATATTCACGAAGATTATAAATATAAAATCAAAATAGATCAGTCTTAACTTTAACTCCTATTACCTACGAGGAATATATTAAAAAGTCAATTTTGAATGCTATCTATTTCATTTCTCATTAGTAGTAGCAATAACACGCGTCAATTTACTTCTATTGTTTTATTTTTATTTTCTCTGTTTGTTTTTGGACCGGAAATGGCCTGCTTCTGACTTTAGGGGTATTATTGGGACGTCTGTCATCCTTTATTCCCAACTATGGAAGGATTCATTAATGTGCTTGTATTTTAAGAGCCTATTTTGRAGAAGAATCAATATCTATTATCATATCTGAATCTAAAATTTTTCTAGAACTTTTGCCTTGCACGTCTATAAAAATACAGCAAAAAGCTGCTGACATCAAAATTTTATCTCTTTCACGTAAAGATATATCTATTCCTTTTATCATTGCACTTAAAATTGTTTGTATCTCGCTTTAACGTAGTGTTTAACTATCAATTTTGACACTGTTCTTTATTTGACAATTACTGATAAAGTAAATACCAAAGTTCAACGTGTAAGCGAAGCAAATTTATTTACAGGATATGTATCTGCATGGGCCTGTTTATGGACTCTAATCTCTAAGATAATACGAGTCCCTTAGCTTTTATCTAAACTATATCAATGCCTGCTGGAATAAGTGTTATTGATAGGGCAATAATCTAGGCATGTTGTTGGGAGATAACTCTGACCAACACAGATGTGCAGGTATTTAATCTGGGTGCAAAAAAATATAGAAATTGATTATTATKCACTGACTAAAAATATTAGTTAATTAGGTCGTTGCAATTGCAAAAAAAAGTTGTACATCTCCATCGATTTCTTGCTTCATGATAAAAATTGGTTTTGTTTGTTTTTTGAGCATATTGATTTTTTTTGTCAATGTCTTAAAACCAATGAGCATGCATTAACCTTGACCCTGAAAAGATAGAGGTTTTATTTATACCATACCCATATACAGTTTATAATTATTTGCTATTGTTTCTTACTCGTCACAGTTTTGAATTCTTTCACCAAAATGTTTTAAACATGTAATCCCAAAGATATTGCACTATTTAACTTGTTATCTTTACTTCTCAGTTCATAATTATGATTGCAGACATTTGATTTATAAGCTTCTTTTGACAGGATTTTAAATATAAAATCCCAGAGATATTGCACTAGCTAACTATATACATGTAGCTTGTTATCAATATTGTTCAGTGGTCACAGTATCTATGCCCTTGGGGGTTGATAGAACCACCAGCAATTTAACAATGACAAAAATATATTGGCTGCAAAGTCTAGAAAAACAATCAAGGATAAATCCATACATTTACAGCTGTTTTTGGCTTAATTATTAACTAATTGGTTAAGTCAAAAAAGACAAAAATTGTTACATGCTGAAACTTGTAGTTGAAAGCACTTGTGAATCTGAAACTTGTGTCGCAAACAGGTTTCTATATCCAYATATGTAACAAGGTGAAACTTGTCTTTCAACGCTGTTGCACACAATTAGTTTCATCTAAAAGTTTCAACATGTAACAAGGCCTTATAAAGTTGATGAAAAAAAAATTGGTTGAGTCTGAAAGAATAATCATATACCACTGTGTCATAAGAAACCTTACTAGCTACAAAGTGTATTGTTTATCACTTGGTTATCTGAAGAGGTGTACATGTACATGTTTTATATAGTGCTGCTTTCGTTATGCACCAAAGAGCCTTGTGTTGACATAGCTTAATGCCTAATTAACACAAGCATACAAACAAATTCAAACCTTTTCGTGATGGAATTTGTGACATTTCTCTCGTATTTTCATGTTACCTAGCAGCACATCCAATATAATTTGAAAGGGGGTCTTTTTGAATAGTGGGATTAAAGACAGGTGAATAAAATTTCCTTGCAGCCAGGATTTTCCTAATGAAAAGGAGGAAATCAAATGCTATTTATATATAATATTTTGTTTACCGTAAAAATATATTATGGAAAGTTTCGTGACATTCAAAAACCAGTATACTGTAATATAATATTTGTAAGCCAAATTACTAAGGAATACAGGTGCCCAGTATACTTTATATTTCAAAGTCAAAATTTGTTCTCATTTTTTGCTCAATATTATGAAAGCTTTCAGTTTTCATTATGAAGCTATACTATTATATATAGGTTCTTATCTTATCTAAGTGGTACCATGCTTAAACACATTCTCAGCTTGACTAATGATCAATATTGTAATCAAGATTAAGGCAGATTATAGATAACAGCAATAAATTTTTAATTCTTAACWTATGACCTCTAGGTATCTATAAGATTATTTTCATCTTGTCTTAATCGACTTGACATAATTGAAAGAGCCAGCTATTTTAAGAAGAAAAGTACTTGATTTTTGTTTTACCTTTTTTACTGCTTGTCATTATGATTACTATACTTTGATTTATTTTTTCTACCCAGCTGTCTCCAGCTGCTCTCGTGCCTTCCCCAAGTTGGGGTAATTTTTCCCTTGTGTGAAATTAAGAATTAAAGTGGTTTAGCCCCATGATGGTTTAGCCCCAAGTAGTCCAACTCTTCGAGTCGCTTATCCCCACTACGTACTCTTCAAGTGGTTTAGCCCCATGGTGGTTTAGCCTGAAGTAGTCTTACCCCACTCTTCAAGTTGCTTATCCCCACTACTCTTCAAGTGGTTTAGCCCCATYGCTGAATTAAGTTACCTGTGAAAAATACTGATGTCTCCAAACAGTCTTACAGTGAAATCCCAGTTAAAAGCTCCCCCATTAATAAGCCCCTCCATTATAAACTTCTCCCTGGTTTTAACTCACTTTTATCTTGGGTTATAARCCTCTCCCCTGTCATAAGCCCACCTGATAAAACATAAAAGATTGTTTGGGAAAATTTAAGAAGTGCTGTTTCACCTAAATTCAAAACTCTTTTTCGTCCTTATAAATGCCCATAATGATTTATATTTTTCTTTCTTTCTTTTTTCTTTAGAAATTCTCCCAGTTCCATGTAGTACACCGGTAGACTCTCAGGCTTCAGATTCACAGTCAGAAGAAAATCCTCCAGCCCCTCATTCCCCCGGGGATGAAGTCTTTGATTACAGTACCCCTGCGTCAACACCAACCTCCGCACACTTTGACAAGAAGTTGAAAAGGAAGAACAAGAGTAGAAACTTTGGCTCACTTTCGAAATTGTTTTCCAAAGGAAAACAAAGAAAATCAACCCGGCAAACATTTGCAGGTATTTTCAATATTTTGATATTTTACATGCCCATAATAATTATAATGACAATATTAATAATGATTGATTCATTTATTGGTATATTGGTGGTACTAACAGCTGTTACAGCACTTCACATGGGATAATTCTGTAACTGAACCACATATGTGAGTTGCATTGGTTCAATGCATATTGTTCTATCCCTTGCCAAAAAGCTTTTTCTTTCTTTTCTCTAGTTTTCCTCATTTTTTATAAAATAACATATAAGATGAGTGTTGTAGTGAAGAAATAGAAAATGCATGCTTGTGCTGTGTGCAATTATATTAAGCACGCGGGGTTGGCAGAACACGAGAGAAGTGTTACAGTAGGAGAAGCACAACACGTAGCGGAGTGCTTCTCGACACTTCTCCAGTGTTCTGCCAATCCCCAAGCTGTGCTTTATAACTCCACACAGCACAGCAAGCAAGTTCTTTATTTCTCTTATAAAATGCAAATTACAATAACCATTATTTTACAGTAGATAGGAATGACACAACTGAAAGTGTGTGTGCATGCAATGTGCTCTCATAAAGCACGCGCTTCCAACCAATCAGAACATGAGATTAATAACAATAATTATTTTATAATGATAAATAATAATTAGTGAATGTTGAGGTGGTGGGAACCTCACAGAACAGCACCTTGTGTGGAATGAATAGCTTTTTTCTTAAACCACAAACAAATAAAGCACTGTTTAGTCTGTAATATCTTTATATTACTTTAATGTACAGGTGTAGAATATCACTCTGCAGATGAGCTACTAGATACTTACTCCCCTGGAACAAGTTTTTCCAGCAAACAGCACATTTTCGAACTTAACAAGGATGTCACAATGTCTTGTTGGAAAGCGAACATGGTTCTTGCATGGCTAGAAGTGGAATGTAAAATGCCAATGTATGCTCAGATGTGTCATGACAATGTAAAAAGTGGGCGTGTTCTGCTTGAACTCAGTGATGCCGAACTTGAGTCTGGCTTAGGAATTTCTAATGCTATGCACAGAAGAAAGCTGAGACTTGCCATTGAAGATTATAGGGACCCTAACTCTGTGTAAGTAAAAGATTTCTTTATATTTTCTGGTCTTTTTTTTTTTTTTAAATCTCATCTCAAATCATACATACATTGAATCAGATCTACATCAAATACAACCATAGACCAAATGCAAAACCCACCCTAATGTGAGGCCCAACCCGCGAACGAAGCGATCCGGCATGATCCGTGACTTTAAATCGCGCCAGTTCCCCCCATCCACAAGCCAAGCCCCACACCAACATGAGTCCCACATCTGGTCCATGACTCACAAATTATTTTTTCTGGTCTATAAAAATTATTTTATTTAGACCATCCTATCTCAGTCTTATTTTTCATTCATTTTTCATTTTTTCAATCATTTAACCCAATGAAATTGTTCTACATGTCGTAATGCATATTTCATATGATTTGTATAGGAAATTTTTGTTTATAGTTCACTCAAAAAAACTTCAGTAAAAAATGCGAAGCGACGCCATGCATCTTTGTCTATTTGGCGGCCGATTTTCAGTCCATCGCACAACTGAAATGCATAAAAAGATTAGTTCTTACGGCTTTAAAATTTTATTTATATGTTTTTTAAGTACAAAATGTTAGAAAATAATTGTTTTGACATTGTTTTGGCCGTGTTGCCATAGCAACTTAATTCGGTACTCCTACGGAGTACAGTTAACGCTATAATTGTACTCCTCTCGACCAATCAGAGTCGAGTAATTTTGCTKAGTGTACTATAATATAAGTAACCAGAAAAATTTTATTCTTCTTCAAGTATTTAGCAGTTTTCAATATAATGTGAACTCGGTTGATACAAGCTGCATGTTGAAATTTGCTCTTTCTTCTGTCAATCAAAAATGTTCCATCGGTAAAAATTCCATCGGTACCTTTACATTTTGACTGACAGCAGAGAAATACCAACGAGCATTTCGCAACTACTAAGTTGGCATACACCGTTCTCATAATGGCTGACAAGTGCACAAAACAAGGTCACCCAGTCATTATTTCACAATAAAAGATTTAAAATTACATGAAATGACTTTAAAGAAGAAAAGTATAAAAGTTTTTGATTTAAAACGTTTAAAACACGTTCACAAGATAGAAAAATATCTGAACAAAGTATTTCTGGAAAATCAACGGCTTTGATAAAGAATAAAAGGATAAAATAAATAAATCAAAATAAATAAATCACTTTTATTTAAGTGTCTAGTCGTTCTAGCGCTTTCGCACTAATTGGGGACACTTTTCACTCACACGCACTACCACTACATTGAATATTCTATGCACACAACGCTCAACTCACATGTTGATTTTTATGGAGGGAGGAACACGGAGAAAACCCTCATAGCATAGTAGAGAACAACACATCAAACAAACTCAATTCACATGTGGCGACCACAGGGCTCGAACCAGCGACCCGACCCGTTGGACTCACAGCGGTGAAAGACGACGCGTTAGCCGCGAACGCCACCCATGCTACCCATAAAACAGACACTATAGTTCTGGAAAGGTCACGCTCCGCTACTTAAACTCTTGTTGTTGTCAAGGAATGTCTGGAAAGCTTGCCCGCCAGAGDCTTGTTGCTATGGGGGAATTTGACACGTGATCTATTGTTGCAAAAGGCCTATTAGCGCTAACAGCCTTTATTTTAAATGAGCAGCTTGGCTCAACCTTGCAAGATGACTGGGTGACCTCGTTTCTGGCGTTCATCAGCCATTATAAGAAGGGTGTATAACAGTAAAATTCCTGTCTTTCTTTCAAATATCAGCAAGTTTCCATGTATTTCTCAAATCGATCATTTCTGGGTGGCTCGAACGTGGATGAGAGACCTTGGGCTCAGTCAATATGGACCTGTGTTTGAATCTCAAATGATTGATGGTCGAATGCTCAACGTGTTGACCAAGAAGGAAATGGAGAAATACCTGAATATCAATAAGAAATTCCATCAGGTAAATCTAGTTTGAGTCCAGTGCTCATAAACTACTTTTGGAACACTGATTCACTATAAAACATTCCTGTTGTGATTTGATGGTTTTCGATGATGATAACAACGATGTAATCCTGACCTTGTTGATGAGAATATAGGATACTTATGGCAGACTCGTTTACAATTCCACAGATTAGCATTTTGCATGGTGTAGAGCTTCTCAGGATGATATCGTTTGACAAACAGGTTAGTCTTGTCCCGATTTTTCTTCCTTCTGCTGTACCCCTCTTCTTCCAATACCTTTCCTTATCTTTCCTCTTCTCTCACTCGCTATTCTCCTCGTCTTTTTTTTCTCCTCTCCTCTCCTCTCCTCTCCTCTCTATAGCAATGATTTCTCTACGACAACCGATACAATGCAGGGATGGTTCCTACAGAAATGGCAAAAGCAAATCTGTAAGAACAAATATGGATATTCTATTGCACGAATTTTTACAGGTTCTTAATGATCGCCGGAAGAAATGTGAAGATAACAACACAGACCCCTTGGTTTGGACCAACGAGAAAATCATGAGATGGTGCCGATCTATAGACCTGGGGGTAAGAAGATATTTGAAATTTTTTTAGGAGCTTTGMACCATCACGTGATGGCAGCCATGACAGGAAGCAGGAACAATTGAATCTGGTCTAATCTGATTTACATGAGAAAGAATTCAGTTTCCCAGGGGAGAACGAGTCTATTGTTGTGGCTCCTGTCATGGCTGCCATTGCGTGATGATGCAAAGCCTCTATAGAGCTTCTAAGGGCGACGTCAATCGTACGGAAAAACTACTTCCAGATCTAAAGTGGAAAGCAGTTCTTTAAAGATTTTTCTTGCTTTTACTTCATGACTTGATTAAAATCGACTKCTATTATTTTTTGGTATTCAAGGTCAAGATAGTGTTCCTCCGTAATGCAAAATGGGCGGGGAAAAAACCCATGAAAATTGCACTAGAACATTTTTTTTCGCGCGCCTTTGTTTTCCTATATAAGTCCACTATGCTATCTGATGTGGTCGATATGTATAAAAAGTCTTATCGATTTACTCYCGATTTGATTTACACCGTTTACTTTTATTTAAATTGGGCTCCCTGTGGTTTCGGGTGGAGATTGAAACATTAAGAACATTTTTCGCTTTATTTCAGTAGTTTTTTGGACCCGGAAATACGTCACAGCTTAAAAGCTCTATAATCAGTGAATATCGTGTGTTGTTTCAGGAATATGCTGAAAGTCTTCGTGACAGCGGTGTCCATGGAGCTGTCATGGTGTTAGATACATCATTTGGTTCCGAGGAGATGGGACAAGCTCTTGCAATCCACCCGTCCAAGAATATCATTCGACGTCACCTTACTAGCGAAATGACAGCACTTATCATCACTGCCAGGTCTGTAATGCACTTTCTTCATAAATTACAGTTCTAGGTCCGATTGTACGAAGGGTGCATAGCGCTATTCGAAGGATAAACCCTTATCCAGTGGATAAATTTATTGGAAAATAGCATTGACTTATCTACTGGATAAGGATTTAAGATAAACCTACCTATAGACCCTTTTCGAGTTCCAAATTACCGCTGTGTTTCTTGATTACAGACTCTTTTACTCAGGCTTAGCCTCAATTTTGTGAAGAATATTCACGTGTTCCAGTCGAGGTCCGTCAAGTTTYAGAGTGTTCGTATTGTTGAAGTTGTGCATTCTTTACTTTACCGTTGGTATTTGTGAATACTTAGACAATGATTCGAGGCTAAGCCTGAGTAAATGAGTCTTTAATCAAGAAACACAGCGGTAATTTGGAACTAGAAAAGGGTCTATTCTACATCTTTGTTCATTGTGCCTTATATGGTGTTGTTTTTACCCAAGCTAGACCACAATGCATTTTTTAATGGAACTTATAAAAGTCCTACTAAGTTCTCCCATTTCAGACGTGCTATTTACTTTACTGTAAGGTTCACATCAACGTGTCTTCTAAAAAATTACTGGTTAATAAAGGAATTACACTCACTATGCACACTTGTGAATGCGCGCTGATCAAAGTCAGAGCAACGCACAGATCAAACCCTGAAACAACCACTGGGCTGATCAAAGTCAGGGCACGACTAAAGCACAGATCAAACCGTATAACAAACTCTGGGACGATATTAGCCAGGGCACGGCTGTCTACGAATCGAAGCCAAGACCCCTTGAAGTGAGAGCATAAGTTTTTCTCGGCCATAGTTTCTATAATTGGCGCCTTTCTCGACACTCAACAGTAACGATATCAATCGTATTTACCCCAACAGGGCAACATTAAGTTTACCAATTGACCAAGCAAAAGACAAGAAACAACGTCGACGTCGCTCATTTAGTTTTAATGTCGGTGCAAGGCGAAGTACGTCTGAAGATAACAAACGACACAGCTTCCGGGTAAGTTACACAACTGCGCATGCGCGGGAATCGTAAAAACCTAAAATAGACGTGTGTGAATTGTGCAGAATTGTGATTGGGTACTATGTGCTTTGGTACAATATAATTGGCTTATAGCGAAAGCCATTCGAGTGTCTTATCCTCAGTACTCGAGTTTCGAGTTTCTGTTGCTCAGGGTTAGCCTCGATTTTGTGTAGAATATTCATGTGTTCCAGTGAAGGCCCGTGGAATTTTAAAGTGTTCGTATTGTTGAAGTTATGCATTCTTTACTTTACCGTTGGTATTTGTCAACATTTTTTATGCTGAAATGAGGCTAACCCTGAGTCTTTATTCAATGAACACAATTTTACGAATTTCAAATTGGTCTATTAGAATTTTAGTTTTTATTTATAAAATTGTACCCTTATTTTTATAGTTGAAATAAGCTAACCCTTATAGTTATTATTATTAATAATTTAAGAATTTAAAGCTTATTATTTTTTCTTATTTATTTTTTAAAGTAAACAGAGTAAATATATTTTTTCCCGAATAATACTTTTAACTTTTGAAACTGGCTTGCTGAAGATAAACTCATTTCTTTATAACTTTTTTTATAGACTAARATATTTTAAATACTTAAAATCTTTATCTAAACTAATTTTTATATATTTTAATTTGTGACGGGCTGTTCTTACTTCTAACCCTTTTAATTTTCCAAAATAACCTCAAAAATATTCAAAACTTTACATTCACTCGTCCCCAGTTGAATTGTCTGTTATGCTCGCACGGGATGCTGGGAAATAATGGGGTTATATCCCATCATGCATCGCGTAACGTATAGCTTTTGGCGCCTGGGGATTGGGGACTGGTGTTTGTTTTCTTCTCTATTACCTTCTTTGTTCTTCTCTAACTCATATTCTCTTACAGAAAACTAAACTCTCTTCTCGTCCAGATGAATCTCATCAACTTTAACTATAAGGTATCTAAAAACAGGATTAACAGGTTTTAGCTGAGGAATCTAAAAACAGGATTTAACAGACTTCTAAAGAATAAAGTACAACTAACAAATACTGGTTCTACTGGTATCTGATCAACATAAATAAGACAACATAAAAGCTGGACTTGGATTGGTAGTATTTTCATAATATCTGATTGGTTGTTAGTTTTAACAGTTTATATTTCGTAAATACGGATTTTTCTTGCTGCGCGAAGACTGGAGCTGAATCGCTTTTCACAGTTTTTTAGATTCATTTATTTTTATACGAGTTTTCTTATTCACTCGCACTTGCACTCCGTTTTTTCTCTTTCATCAACACTTACACAAATTTTTCCTTTCTGTTCTGCTTCACCTTCTCTTTTCGCACGACCTTTCCGTCCTCTTCTTATTGTAGTATTATGTACTTGGTGTATATTACCCAAACGTTTATTAACTAAAGCCCCTTGCACGATCTCATGTTGAACCTCTAGAACAAGCACTGTAGTTTCACAGCCAGAGAAATTCTCTACATGTGTGTCCCTTAATGTTTAACAGCGTTTTTCATGTATGATCATTGATTTTGGGGCCGTGACGATTTGGGTTTTCGCTCTCGTTATTAGTAGACCTTTTCCGAATTCGCTTGAGTGACGACGAAACAATTGCTTCAAGTCAAGGTTAGACTTAATGTGTTCATACATTTACTGTATTTTATCAAGTCTAATCTTGACTTGAAACTAGAGAGCTGTTAGAGCTGTGCTCCGGGGTCATACATGTACTGTATAGCGGCTACAGGACGTCTTCACATGCTTTCAGTTCGACCCCSTTGATCTGCGCTACTGCTATACTTGCGGTGGTGATTAGCAATGACAAGTTTTTGGTCACTCAAGCGAATTTGCAAAAGGTTTAGGAGAAGAATTACTAGCTCACAACCTTGTTGGTGTCATAAGAAGCGTGGCAAGCCTGAAGTCGACTGGGTCGGGGAATCACTTTGCACATCACGCACGCACTAGGCTTTTATGCACATCTATGCACTCATGTTTTTTACTATCTGCAAAAATTAACTTCTAATTCCAATTAGATCTGTTGAGAACGATTTAAACTGAGCCTCCGGCTTGGAAAACTGAGCAATTATYCCCTGCGTTATTAACGTAGAATAAATTGCMGAAAATCMCCGAGTCAGACGTGTTCTCACGAGGGAAATGGACTACCACCTACCATCCTGAGGCATCCTTTTCGCCGGCAAACAGCTCGAAGATGGCCGAACCTTGAGTGACTCAATAGACTACTTCAACGAAACGGCGGCCATCTTGCCCGGGGGGCAAAACAAAAACGAAGATGGCGCGTAAAATATATAGAGTTTCTTGTGTTTATCTGTCTTTTATGGGTAAAGGTGATCGACAAGTTAATTCAACTTTTGGTGTGCTCTCTTGTGGTRAGCTGTTAATATCAATCGATGTCATTACTGTAACAAAGCTTTATTTGCCCCCTGGACGCCCAATAATGCCTTGCAGCTTAAGATTGTCGCCGTATCGTCGAAGTAGTCCATTGCCATGTTGTCATGTCATGTTGCGCGCACGACCTAACAACTGTAAAAGAACGACAGTTCGTGCCTAAGACAAGAGTATTTTCATGCGTTATACTCATACTATTAATATTGTATAATTCTTTGCATTTGGTTAATTTGAATAGATATCATGGAACAACACCAACTTTACCAATACCCGATCGACAAGCTCTCTCGAAAGATCGCTCAAACCGAAGTGTGAGAGTACATCATCACTACAGATCAACCAGCATTCAAACACACTACAGCTTCCAACCAGAGGTGGAACAGGATCGCTTCAACGTCCTCTTCGACCAAGATCATCATTCCATTAAGTCCTTGGTAGTTTCTTGTGATAATTCTCGATCCTCAGTTCATTATATCCAAGTCTTGATTTTAGCCTATTGCTAATAGTCCCCTTCACAGTTCCTTGCGCCATCATGAAAAGTAAGCGTGCCTTTGTATCGAAGCGAGACGAACGGTGAGCTTGCAATGATAGAGACATGCGAATAATTGTCCAAGGTGTTAAAAAAAGGTATCTATCATTACAAGCTCACCGTTCATCTCGCTTTGATGCAAAGGCACGGCTACCTTTCAAGATGGCGCAGGGAACTGTGAAGGAGACTATTCGATTCAAAATTTCCAGTCCATTAACTCGATGGTCTTCAATAGGCAATTCATGACTTCATCCAATATCCACAGTCCAGTAAAACCATATCCTTTAATCCGCAATTTTGATCCAAAATCCACAGTCCATCGTATGCAAAAGCTGACTGTAGTCATTTGCTTTTGTAAAATAGCATTTCTCGTAATAACCTGAAAATCTAAATTTTCAACGTTTTTATATTATATATTTTTAATTTATTGCCATAATATCTTGACTTTTCCTTTTTATCACAAAACAGGATCTCGTCGCAAGAGCCTGCGTTCCTTATGGTCAGCAAGARGTAACTGACCATGAGGAACGCAGGCTCTGTGGACGAGGTTGCTTAAGGATGAGGTGAGGTGCCAGCTCAATCCAAATRTGCGAGGTCATACTTAATTTTTACACTTTATAACATGCCGTATTTTAAACCAAGAGTYGCCAATGCTTTGCAAGTGAATGCTATTTCGACGATTTCAGTTTCGAAAAAATTAATCTTTGATAACTTGTACCCTTATGACAAGGTCAATGACTGATTTAAATTATATTTTTTCTGCGTTTCTGTCTTAATAATGTTTTTCCCCGTCAGTAACTAGATAATATGAAGTAGGTCTTATCATTGATGTTTCTAAATATTTTATTTTGAAGCATTTTAGGTTTAAATTCTTGATTTTTTTTTGCATTGTTAAAAAGTATTATTATTCTTTTCTTTTTTTTTTTTTTTTTTTTCTTTTTTTTTTCTTCTTGTTGGTTTGCTTGCTTTATCTTCTTCCTCTTTTCTCTTGCGTTCTTTTTTCTCCTTTTCTCTTGTAAATAGTCCAATTATACGTGGCCGTGTCTTATCCATCCCTAGTTTTAACCCGAACAAACGATTAGAAAACAATAGCTGCAAAGCAGTATAAAGCCATTTTTTTACAATTCTAGGATTTTAGCAACATAATATTTATAGCAACTAGACACTCTCAGAGCGTGTACTCGGGCTTCCAAGGTCTYGTTTCTAGTCTATTGTGTGTGCTGGAAGCCTTCGTTCTCCGACTCATCTGGAATTCGTAACGGATGTAAAAACAACTTTTTTTCCTCGTGCACTTCTCGGGCAATTCACAGAAACAGTTCCCGAGTAATAATGAAGAGCTCGATACCAGGACGTCACAGCAACTTTAGAAGGCTTGGCACTAAGATGAGGCGGACTAAATAATAATTTTTGGTTATCAGAATTTGATAGTAGAGCTTATTAASACTGAACTGAAAAAAGAATTTCTTTAATTTATTAAAGTGAATGTTTTATGAATGTGTAAATAAAGTGTTSTAAAGAACTAAAGGATTGTGGTTGTTTAATATCAGCGGGTGGTTGGATAGGTCGACGGTTTCTAGCTTGGTGGGCGAGTAGGTAGAGTGGTAGGTAGACTAGACACTTTGATAAAAGTGATTTTTATTTATTTTTATCATTAATTCCCCATTAACTCGATAAGCCACTTCCTTCCTCATTCTTTAGAGAGAATAAGAGAAAAATATCAATGCCAAATATCAATATTTTTCTCTTATTCTCTCTACTTCATTATATACACACCGAACGCATAATTTATTACTACTATACTATMCTCATTCTTTAGAGCAGTTTTCGTATACAGCTATTTAAAAAAAGGTTGCATACTGATTAGTGYATTCCAAGACCAAAGGGCATTAATTTATGGGTCTCGTTAATTTGAAATTAAAAGTAAATATACAGCAATTTAATTCTCTACATGTAGTTAGTATATTGTTTCAGATGGAATACACTAAAAATAGAATAAATAATTACTATTAATCCTACTTTAGACAATGTCAATGACCCACAATACCCTTCGGTCTTGAATGCACTATTCAGTATGCTTGCATTCAACCTTTTTGAAATAGCTGTAACTGAAAAATTTCGCTACCGTGATGTTTTCTAGAATTTTGAATTGTGGAATTTTTCTCGCGCAGTGTGATTGGTCTGGCAGTGGCGTCACATTGGCGTGACCGTGTCCACGCAGTGTTCATGCCGCACTAAGATCAATCAATTAATCATAACCAAATAGTTATATAATATCAGTATTTCAAAAAATCATGAAAAATATAGAAAAAATATTATGTCCATAGTCTATAGCCTCCTGCGCAGCTCTACGGATGGAAATATAAAAATTGCGTGACATGCAGACCCTGCCACCAGAGCCTTTCACCTGCCCGCCAGGAAAGCGTTGGCCCGGCAGGGTATTCATTACTAGCTGGGAGCGGCCGTGAAAAATGCCTGTTCCTCTCTGCTCTGTTTTAAMATTTTTGGCTCAAGAGAAACGATTTCCGATATTATTAAAGCTGAGAGCAGATTTCGTATCAAATTGTATCACGTATATACGAACAACGCCTTGCTTGAACGTCATTACATTGACCTTTTCGTGCATTCTTATTGGATGATTATGAAATCTCATGCGTTGTGCCTTGGTTCAACCAATACGGTATCCGGCATCAATTGGTATTATTATCGTGTTCCGTACGTTCTACACTCATAGAAAGTCAGCTTCAGTTTTCGTAAAATAATCGTGTGGTGGACTTTCTTCTGGAAGCAACAACACTAAAATCTTGCGGTTTTCCGCTACAGAAATTTCGCATTGTTGGCAGGAAAGTGAGAAAGACTACGGCAGGACATCGGGTTAGTTCGGATTGCCAATTATTAATTTGCTGCATACAGTAACAAGCGTCCAAGTACGTTCAACAGAGAAGCTTGTTCGGTTATCCAGTTTACCATGGCYATTGCTATGTTCTATCACTGGATCTTGGTGGGATGCTTTATTTTTCCATTTACTAAAGCAGGTAACTTTTACAAAGGCTAAAATTTTGAACCAATTTCTTTCATTTTTTTATTCATTCTTTTTTTCTTCTTTTTTTTTTTTTTTTTTTTTTTTTTTTNTTTTTTTTTTTTTTTTTTTTTTCTTTTTTTCTTTTTTTCTTTTCTAAATTGCATAAGTCTGTTTAGAATAGACTTTTCCCGAATTCGCTTGAGTGGCCATACAACTATTGCTCAAGTCGAGTTTGATATTTCATATCTATTTTCATACACATATTCATATTTACTGTGTTTGATCAATTTCAACCTCAACTTGGAAGAGTTCCGCTCCCGGCCAGACTAGACTTGGAATGACAGACAGACAGACAGACAGACAGACAGACAGACAGACAGACAGACAGACAGACCACTATCCACTAAGCCGTACACATTCCCATTGACTCAGTATGGCCATTACCTGACTTTGATGTAGTTTTGTGGTTGGAGGGTTAGATTAATGATGACGTCTGCTTAAAGTGGTTTGCATTGAATATCATGTATTAAAGGAAAACTTTAGAGCATCGTATATATATTTTACAGATCTTTATTGTCGCGACCTTGCTCTTGGCATGCAGAACAGAGTCATACCAGCTGACAAGATAACAGCATCTTCAGGGACAGCAGGTGACCAGGCCAGACTAAACTACACTAATGGACCATCGTGGTGTGCTAWGGGAAATGACACTAGCCCTTATCTACAGATTGACTTAGGGACCCCCCACATCATCTGTGCTGTGTCAACACAGGGTGACCACCAGACAAAAGAATGGGTCAGGACTTTCAAACTGAGTTATTCACGAGATGGGCAAACTTACTTGTCTTACAAGGGATACATGGGGCCTGAGTTTCAGGTATGTTATTTTTATGTCATTTGTAAGAAATTAGGAGAAAACAGAAGAAATGTCTGAATTGTCAGAAGCTCAGAAATCGTCATTTATTTTGCATAATTTATTGTTTTTTTCTAGATCTTGAGGTTTAATTCATGTTTTCATTTTTAAAACCGTTTTTCAATCGATTCCTCAGTTTAAACACGTTTAAATTCCACTTTTAGTCGTTTTGAAATAGATCGCAAGCACGCTGAAACGAGTTGGGGACTGGGCACCAAATGCGATCGCAAAGCATGCATGGAATTGTTTTGCAGTACAAGGCGGCCATTTTGAAACCGAAAAATTGAAGCAAAATGCATAGCCATTCAAACGGCTTGGTYCCTCGCTATACAAACAACTATAATCCAAATAGTCCAACACCAAACTACGTTCAGCCGCCATTTTGGTCTCTGTCTAGGCGCTGTGAACATTTGCTTTTCTTCTTTTTATACTCAGTCGTTTAGCGCCGATACGCATTTCCAGTATCATGCTTCTATAAAATCAAGCAGAAATTTCATGACCTTGGCGGTTTTTCTATTTTAGACATTTTATGGTAATGTGGATAATTCAGGGATCGTCAAGCAGATTCTTTATCAAGGAATCACTGCCAGATATMTACGTATCGTACCCATAATGCACCACGGGGCTGTTTGTATGAAAGCTGAGTTATATGGAGTACAAATACAGTCAGGTGAGATAGCAAAATATTCATTAAGCATGTTTTAAATGATTTCATTTTCATTCAGCTTAGGACACCACTAAACACGATAAACCTCCTAGGCTCGTGCGCGCTCGGACGCGATGTTTTCCCACTTGCCATTCTCTAGAGTATCATTTCTTTGTTAAACGGTTGCGCTCGGTTGCACATGAGAAGACACATGAATATAGATACAACTCAATCAAGGAATCTTATTCTCAAGGGAATGACACGTGGTCTGAAATGAGAAAACCATTCGGCGTAAACATAAAATTAACAAATTGACATCAGTTTTTTATGTGTCTGTCCTCGTATCGACGATAAATTGCGTCATCACATTGCCAAAGTAGTGTGGATGCGCTATTCAGTATGCAGTATTCAGTATTCCTTTTTTGAAATAGCTGTAGTGAGTCTTCTGTTCTGTTCATTTGCTGTACCAAATAGAGAACATAGCACTGCACAAACCAGCAGTGCAATCCAGTATTTCACATAATGGACAAGCTTCAAGGGCCGTTGATGGAAATCGTAACGGTGCATGGTCAGCTGGTACTTGTATGCATTCTGACTATAAAGGACGCATGGAATGGTGGCGAGTTGACCTAGGAGCTGGAATACTAGTGTCAGAAGTGTCTATCTTCACAAGAACCCATCCAAGATGGGGGCTTTATTTGTGGGATAGTCTATTTGAACTAAGAATCGGTAAGAGCAATTATATACAGTCAATTCAAAAAATGTTGTCGTCGACCAACTGTCCGGCGGCGCCAAAGGATATATACAGTGTGTGCAACCATGTGACTAAAAAACMCTTGAGATATGAATAAAAATRAAACAACCGCCATGTTGTTTGATATAACAAGAGAAGCTAATGAGGAATGCTTTATTATCGTCAACCAAGATGGCGGCAATGACGTAACATGCATATGCTCCATTGGCTACCTGTGCCTTCATTTACATGACACGTGGCAGAATGATATAAGCGCTGCCAGGCCGCAATTACCAAGTAACCAGTAATTAAGCGAATTAAGATTAAAGTAACGCACTCCTTTAGTAACAGTCAAATATTAGACTTTTACCACAGGGAACCCGGCTATATTTTGATTGCTTCTTTTAGAAAATTAACTTTGCTCTTTGTGGGTTTCCTGTGGTTTGTGATCGATTCCTTTGATCGGTTTACATAACATAAGCTGAAGCTGTAATCAGATCGCTGTAAATTGATTTTCACAGGGAAGCGTTCACAAACCGCAAAATAAAGATCAAAGTTACTTTTCTTAAAGAAGAAATCAAAATATAGCCGGTTCCATGTGCTTTTACTAAAGGATCGAGTTACTTCAACAGAAAACAAAGTGAGTGCGGGAGCGACGGTCACATGTTATTGTTTTATGTCATACAATCAATGCACAGGAAACCCATCTCAGAAGGAAAATCGTTACTTTGTACAAGTACTAGGTACTGCGACATGATAATGAGCATGCAGTGAGAAAATATAACTAGTTTTACTGAGAGCAGACCTTCTGACATATCCTTTTATAGGTTACAGCACTTCCACTCCTGAGTCTAATCCAAGATGTGGTGTTCAGTATGGAATACTGCCGGACACAAGGAGTATTACTATAGTGTGCGATCCACCTATGTATGGAAGATATCTCACTATAAGACAGGTGCAGCTTAAGGGTGCACTTTCATTTTGTGAAATAGAAGTTTATTCCAAAGGTAACGATCAATCGCAACTGTGAAAATCTAAATAGTTTGTGGTCATTCGTTCATGTGCTTCCAGTTTCTAATAGACTCCTTAAAATGATTTCCTATTCCCGAGAGGAATTGTTCTAGGGGACAAAACAATAGGYCGTCTATTCCTGTACAAAAAAATATCAATTGTTTTGTCCCCCAGAACAATTCCTCGAGGGAGTCAGTTGAAGAAGTCTATTATAGCTTGTAAACGTTCACACACTTTTYATAGTCAATATCGGACTTTTGAACTCCTATTTGTTAAGATAATGACAAGAACTGACCTCTTTACCCTGGACGTAATGTTTTCTCATTTCAAACCACGCGTCCTTCCCCTTTTAGAATGTAATTTCTTTGTTCAACAGTTGCGTCTAAGAAGACACATGAATATGGATACAACTTATTYATAAAKAATGTTATTYTCAAGARAATGRCACGTGGTCTGAAATGGGAAGACATTACCTCCAAAGTAAAAAGGACTATTGACAAAAAAGTTCTTTAGTTTATTCAACCTGTTATTCTGCCAATTCGCAGMTGTTGTTATTGATAAGCATTTGTTTTGTGTCATCACGTGACCCTACTCTTCTTAAACAAGCGTTTTTGATTTGGCTTTAGCTTCTAGTCGTCTTAAAATAGCTTCCTCTACGAAAATACGAAATACCATTTGGTCAGCAAGCTCTATCCATAGCAACATGAGATCTGCAAATGAAGCAAGACTCCTTGGTAACAGTTCCTGGAGACCACGTGACGATGATACCAACCCATGGTTACAAATAGACCTTGGAGAGATTTACTACGTGTGCGCTGTGGCTACACAAGGTGACCCGAACAGTGACGAGAGGACAAAACTATACAAATTGAAATGGACCTTGGATGGTGTTACATGGGACTTTGTAAGAAACGAAACTTCGTACAAAGTTATGGTACGTCATTGGGCTTCTAGGTTTTTACATACATGTATACATTAAGATACATTAAGACGTTAGTTGAAAGTAAACAACAACAACAACAACAACAGCAACTACYACTACTACTACTACCACTGCTACTGCTACTGCTACTGCCACTGCCACTGCCACTGCCACTGCCACTGCCACTGCCACTGCCACTGCCACTGCCACTGCCACTGCCACTGCCACTGCCACTGCCACTTAAGTAAATTTTGGAATTTTATAAATATCCTGAACCCTATGGGCTGATTAGAGTCAGGACATGGCCAAAACACAGATCAAATTCAGTGGAATGTAGTGATTTGTTTCAAATACCTCATATATTTCAATTCAAAGAAAAATATATGTTCCGATTATGAGGTATTCCCTAAGGAGCAACGATTTTGCGTTTACAGAATTATCTAAAATTGGACGCGTTATTTCGACTGATTTTATTTTTTCCTCTTTTAAAGATATACACAGGGAAYAGAGATCGTTCTAGCATAGTGAAGCATATTTTTTCGGTTTCTGATAGAGGGCCTATCTTGACGAGAATGCTGCGGGTCTATCCGTTCGAAAACAACATTAAGGCAGCATTAAGAGTGGATATATATGGACTTCCTTCTGGTAAGTCAGTTGGCATATCTTACAATYATTTAGTGATCCCCTCGACAAGCTTCTGCTCTTGGAGCAAAACTAAAGAATATAGAGCGTTTTCACGTGAAGTCACAGCGGCCATTTTGTTGTAACAAAACAATACATTTTCTATCCTCCGAGAACTCTATTTTTATGCAAATACTGTGCAGAAAGTTTCTATTGTTTATAGCTGTCTTCTCACGTGAGTGAAAACGCTTTTTAGGAGTCTAAATAAGCGTTCATGTGATCATATGCATATGGAATGTGCGCGTTATAAATTTTAAAGTTATTATTATTTGTTAAAAAAAATAAAAAAAATTGTCATATATATTTATTCAATCATGTTGGGTGGCAAAAACGATACAATCATTTAACASGAAAAAGAATTCAATTCCCTGGAAAAGTATGAAAAGCTTTCATCAAACGATTGTACATTCCACTGTTTGAATCTAGTATTGCATTAACCAACCCACTCCATAAAAATAAGGTTTAACTACACGCATGACATATGCGTTTACTCGGGCTTTCTGTGAACATATTAGAGAAAAGTACTAAGGAAGATTCCCCCCTACGACGCCTCAATAATTTGTTTTTATCTCAGGAACACAGAGCACATATGGCCTGTTAACGTAGACTGATTCCATAATTCGGTGCTTTCGCTCTCCTGTCGATTCTGGATATCGCTAGTTGAGCGACCACAACCCACAAAGGAGCGAAAACGACGACTTATAGAATCAGTCTTCCTGTTAACGAACCCATAAGAAAAAAATTTCTATTTGTCCTCGGGCATCCACAGAGAGTCTGGGTAACAACTCGTGTTTTTCTCCAATGGTTCAGTAAGATAACATTAGAAAAATTTCTTCCAGCTTCGAATCTGGACATCACTATAACAAGTATCCGAGCTTCTTCCTCACGAAGTATAGTCTTAACTTGGGATGTGAGTACAATTCCACTCTCGAACGGTTTTCTTTATAAGCCTTTTCATAGTTTAAGAATCGATTCCACTGCGCATGCGAATTTATCCCGAATTTCTCACCTTCCTTTGTTTAATTAAGAACAAAAGAAGATTTAGACAAAAGAAGGTGAGAAATTCGGGATAAAATCGCATGCGCAGTGGAATCGATTCTTAAACTATGAAAAGGCTTATTAAGCTCGCGGCTAGTTACTGTCGTTTTACTCTAACCGTGAACATTCGAGTTCGTTAACCAATCAGACTGCGAATCTAAAACGATAGAATTTGAGTTACCTGTATCGGAAAGTCCATAAAAGCTATTCAAGGAGATGAAATGATAAAAGGGAAAGAAAAAAAAAGTATATTATATGTACAGTATTTATATTAGTTATATACAGCCATTTGCAAAAAATTATGGCCGTTTCAAATATGCATACAAATATATCAAAAGTATATCAGACACGGCGGGATATATTTCTTGATATTTTTTTCAGAAAGCCCTAGTGATAGACAACTCGAAAAAAATATCAGGGATGATATCCCATAATTTTGATATGCTTTTGATATACTTGATATACTTGCAATATATATTGGAAGCGGCCATAATGTTTGCAAATGGCTGTATATATAAGTATAGTATATATATATATAAGCCATGAAATCAAATAAACTCGAGTGTTCATGGTCAGAGTAGAACGGCAGTAAATGCAAAGAACTTCTCTCATCATTATAATCACTATCATCATTTTTGTCATCATCATTATCATCATCATCATCATCATTATCATCATTACTATTATTATTATTATTATTATTATTATTAGTATTATTATTATTATTATTATTATTATTATTATTTCCATACATTATAGGGAATCTTTGCTGGTCTGAAGAGCAAAGTAAAATTCCTCAAAGTCAAGCTGCAGTCAGAAAAAGGAGAAAGACTAACAAGAATATGCGAGTCATCCAATGGAACTGTCGCTATAGATTATTTACAGAAGTGGACCGTTTATAAGGTGACAGTWAAACCCTTCACTCTTACCACAACTGGTCCTCAAAGTCCTCCAAAAACTGTTCGAACATTTGAAGATGGTGAGTAAAACAAATAAAAATAAATAAATATCTTTATTTAAGTGTCTAGTCGTTCTAGCTCTTTCGCACTAATTGGGGACACTTTTCACTAACACACACTACCACTACTTTCAATATTCTATGCACACGACGCTCAACTCACATGTTGATTTTTACGGAGGGAGGAAACCGTAGAACCCGGAGAAAACCCTCGTAGCATAGGAGAGAACATCACATCAAACAAACTCAATTCACATGTGGCGACCGCAGGGCTCGAACCAGCTATCCGACCCGTTGGACTCCCAGCGGTGTGAAAGACGACGCGTTAGCCGCGAACGCCACCCATGCTACCCAGTGGAAATTCATTTTCAATGAATCATGGGCGGCGTAGTGGTAGGTCACTCGTTTCTCACATGCATCTGGGGTCTCGGATTTTATGCCCAGACTCGGCATTTGYTATCTTTTGTTAGCCTTAGGTTTCTCACTTGATTCGGGGGTTTTACCGCGGGTTCTCCGGTTTTCCTGTTTCCGCAAAACCAAGCAAGCTATAATCCCAAGTTCTATCTGTGAGTTGGCCATGCCCTGACTTAGATCAGCCCAGAGGTTGTTTCAGGGTTTGATCTGTGATCTAGCTGTGCCCTGATTTAGGTCAGCCCAGAGGTTGTTTCATGGCTCTATCTGCGAGTTAGCAATAAACTGAATTTGATCCGCCAAGAGGCTGTTTCGGGTATCGATAGTACTTTAAGGTGTTTTTCAGTTTTTTCGATTATTTTTTTCTTCAAATTATGTAAAACTTCAAGTTCCATAACTCAGTATTAATGAACTCCGATAAAACTTTTTCTCCAGCCCCAGGTGCACCTCCTACGAATTTCACGGTTACGATGATCAACTCAACGAGTGTCAATATGTCATGGGAATTACCCGCATCTGAATCTAGGAACGGGATGATTCGAGGTTTCAAGATATTCTACCAGAACATAAAAGACCTAGATCCTGCTAAAGTATTGGACGTTAAAGRCAACACTACACTTAGTTCTATACTGACACTAGAAAGATTTGGAGAGTTGTCGTTCAGTATACTGGCATACACTGTTAGTAATGGACCGAGGAGTATCGTCATGATAATAACAATGGATGACGCAAAAGGTAAATAGAGGTACCCCGAAACTTAGGGGAAGGGGCGGTGGAGGAAGAGGGATGGGTTATGATTTGTTGATGTGTGACCCCAATGGAAAATCCCTGGTCACCTTCCTGGTTACTTWCTTATTCTGCGATAAATGATTTCTGCAGTGCTATCACCCATCCAGAGCAAGCAGTATGGGTCTTCAAGATCGGTATCGGCAGCAGGTTAGTCAGTATCAATTCTGTTTATCAGCTAGCGCATACTTGCTGTCCAACTAAAATAGGTTCATTTCATTGTCACTTTATTGTCATACTACCCCTYCSTCCTCCATGCACTRCAACATGATCAATCGACCCTTACTGTATCGCAGGTACAGTACCGATAGCCATTCTATGTGTTATTGTCGTATTGCTGGTATTACTGGTCACTGTAATGGGATGGAAATTGTGCAAAAAGCGCCAAACCTCAAAGGGTGAGTTATTAAATCGAGGGAGGCTAATTCATTCGCATTTTTGATTTTTTTAGTTTATTCGTGAATATCCTTCACTCTTATTGCTTCCATTCAGACCACGTGTCRTTCTCTAGRGTATCATTTCTTTGTTTAACGGTTGTGCATGAGAAGACACATGAATATRGATWCGACTCAARAAATCTTATTCTCAAGAGAATGACACATGGTCTGCAAATATATGGTTCCGAAGTTGAGGAGAAAACTGGGTCGAGCTGGCATTGCAGKGCATTGTGGGGCTGTTTTAGGRAAATATTTCCAAGATGGCGTCTATTTTGTCGTYTCTAAAACAACCCCACAATGTAGTACAATGTTAACTCAACCAACCCATTTTTCCCCTCGACCATGGAATATCTAATTAGGTCTACACAATAAATTCAAAGGAATTTTTTCATTCCTAAATATGAATGGATGGGATAGTTATACAATTTTTTYCCCATTCTAGGAAGAGAATCCTTCAACACGCCAAGGTATGACAATTGCTTCATTTCATGATCAAATGATGTCATTTCCTGTCTCGTGCGCAAAATTCARCAGTTGATATTTTGTTGAGCACATAAATAATATTCGAAGATTTATATCATCTGTTTGAAACTAAGCAAGGCCTAGCCTCCGCATTTCCTTGAGTAGGATACCTTTCTTTATGGGCGAGGTACGTTTTCTATGGGTGGAGGGCTGGGGCTTTTGTGGAGAGGGTCATCAATAAAACATTAACTTTTTTAACGGATCAAAYTGTTTTATTTTGACGGTCTCCTTGTTGACTTAATAGGAGCGTYATGAATTTCCTACCAAAAGAAAGGGGGATGGCTGTAATCATTTTATAAATGAAAGTTAACTGCGAATCACCCAGCCCTCCCCACCCCAATCAAAAAAACGTTTTCTTCCCTTATCGGTTACTCTTAAAAACGTACCACGGAAAGGGTCCCAAAAGGGTGTGAGGAGAAGATACAACTTCAAGTTTTCGTTGGGAATAACGCAAATTCTCTACTGTTTACGACAATGTAACCCCATGCTAGAATACTCTTGAAAAAGAAATTCATCTCTGTACTTCGAGTACAGGAGAAGCACTTAAAAAAATTATCAACATGAATGTAGTGGACGAGCAGTGCGATAATGAAACTCAAAAGGCTTCTGTTCTTCTAGTATATTTTTTTTCACTGGCAACCTCGTATTTTTATTTCCTTTAGCAGGTCTATGAAAGTTCTACAGAAAGCTGTTCCAGAWTACGAGCCATTCGTAAGTGTTCTACCACTGCCATAATATGACAATATTAACAAGAACAAGAACTAAAAAGACAACAACATGATCATCACCATCATCATCACCACCCCCATCATCATCACCAACATCATCATCATCGTCACCACCGTCATCTTCATCATCACCACCACCATCATCATCATCATTAACATTATCATGCTACCATAACCATCTTATCTCAATGATCATCAACATCATTATCGTCACCATGATCATCACCATCATCACCACCATTATCACCACCACCTCTACCATCATCATCACCAACATCATCATCAATAACATCATTACCATCTTATCATGCACGATGATCAATAACATCATTACCATCTTATCATGCACGATGATCATTAACATCATTACCATCATCGTGATCATCATTATGCGATGCCTTTCTTGGTATCATCCACCTCCCTTGAAATCTTTGTGGACCCGCAACTGCATTACCATTATCATTGTCATCATCAACATCGCCATTATTGCCACAACATTACAACAACGATAATTTTTATAATTTTTCAATTATTTTTCTCGTGTATTCATTTTCTCTGATGATGCGAGGCCAATTTGAAATAGGCAGGAAAAATACGTGACAACAGCAACAACTTTATTTTACACATAATTTTACAAATATTTTGAAAAATATATTTAAATTAATTAAGGTTAATTAGAATATTRATACAGAGGGTACGGTACTTCGGATGATTCAGTGATTAACGTTTTTGCAGTATGATGAAGACCCCACGACCAATCCATCAAGTCAGTGACAAAAGTCGCAAAGCTTCTTCTACAAAGCAAGATTACATTTGCAGCCTTCATATGGTTCTGTAGGAAATCTGTGGTAGTAAATAGAAGTAGAGGATGGATGGATGGATGGATGGATGAATGGATTTTATTTTATGTGATGCTTAAAGACCGTGAAACCATGAATAGTACGTTGGTTGTAATACTTAAAGTCCATTATATTATGTAAAACGATTGTRTCTAACATGGATGCCGTCACGTGATGGTKTGGTAAAACCTATACACTTATTTCAATAAAGTTAGTCACCTGAAAAGCTACAAAGCTGAGACGGGCAAGGATTATGGGTAGTTACATTTTACATGTTTCAACCGCTTGATTACTGTTGATGGACTTGAGATCTTCTACCAGTTACGAGTTTACCTCCTCTGAGCATCCTCAACTGCTGCAGTTTGTGTCAAAAGCTTTACTTGTTGRATATGAATTATTTCCCATGATTCTCAGCGATCACAGCTTTCTTTTTTGGTGACTAACTTTATTGAATTAAGTGTATAAAGCTATATAAACACGTCCAAAAAAGATCCGTAATCGATCCACTGTTGTTAGGTCTATTATTAACATGATTGATAGATATGAATACCTCCAATCTACCGTAGAAAGCATATTGCTGGCTTTCACTWGACGTCATTTCCAGTCTCGAGCGGAATGTTCATCAGCTGAATCAGTCACCAATTTTCAATAGAATTCTTTCTGGCTGACAGCACAGGGTGGTCAGTGGTGTTTGAGCACCATGTGGAGCAGATAATGAGATTCAAAGACATTTATCAGCTGAGTGAAAGCCAGCAATAACCTCATTTAACACAATTAAAAATTGAAA